ACACACACACACAAGTTGCGCAGAACCTAAAAGTTTAGGAAGACTTCTGTGCTTGTAAGGTGCTATGAGTCTGCCAGGGCACAGCCTAAGCATGCAGATGCACAACACTTGGAGGAGCAGTATTTCACCGCTCAGGGATCAAGTGCTTGCTCTGCTTGGGCCTATGTCAGGAGTCGCAGACAGCTCGCAGCGACGAAGCATCGAATCCCTGGTCCAAGGAGCGGGAAGATGTTCTGCAATCCTCTATGTAGCTGCAAGACCTCAACAAGAGCACACTCTTTGCGTGGCACCCCGGTCATCCTGTTTTAAATACATGCAGGGAACGAAGATCCAGAAGATAGCGGTTTATCTGCGCGTTTGCGAGGATCAAGCAGACTCATGAATTCATTTTTGTGTTCCCTTTGTTTGGGCCTCGTCTCCGGTTCAACATGCGGGAACCCATCCCAGCACGAGGATTCCTTTTGTAGAGCAGCACAGTGCATATTTCGTACTAGATCCCGAGGCTCCGCACCGGTCTGCGCGGGCCCTCTGAGCAGAACAAGCTGCCTGCTTCTCGAGGACGCGGCCTGCAGCAGCGGGGACAACTTCCGGAGTTGCTTGGCTACAGTGTGCGAAGGAAGTAGACCAGTGAGGCACCGAGCGGAGGTGGTGATGCCCGCTGCAAACTGTTGGGATGCTGTCATTGCTCTTTAGTCAGTGCGCGCTGCCTTCCCTAGACCCCGGAGACCAATCTCCTTGTGAATCCTGCTTGAATACACCTTCATACACCTTCTACAGTGTACAGTGAGTTACTTTAGTCGCATAGATCGCGGTCGATGGCGTGTCTCCCTGCGGGAGCGCGGGAGCGCATGCCGGCATGCCAGGGGGGTCGCATCAGGTACGGTTGGGCATGCGACTACATGGCCTTCGGCGGAGTTTGTCGCGTTCCCACTGATGTCACATCCGTTTTCACATCGTAGAACAGACCTCTCCCCCACTTAAAGGGGTGATGTGACCTGATGTCACCCCCTCTACTTGATTCATGCCTTCCGGCCCAAAGTGTGTCACTTGAATTTGCGGAAACTTAAACTGAATGCCAGCTGCCTTGTCCTAGGTGACAGCTTGGCGCAGAGCCAGGGAAGGTGGACCGTCCCTCCCAGGCTTCCCACAGGGGCCGAGGCCCCAGAAATGGCTCAGCCAACATTGGGTCCAAGAGTTGCATGCCCCTGGGCTTTGGAATGACCTTGCCACAGCCAGATCTTTATGTTAGCTTCAGGGATATGATGATGCCAATGGGTGATGTCTACTTTGCCTCACCGAGCTGAGTTTGTTCACGGAAATAGATAGATGCTAACGCCATCGTAGTACGTCAACGAGTAGAAGAAATTCATGGAAGACTTCAGCACATGTACCACAGCCTCCAACCCCCAACGTTCCACCATGGCTTCTTTGCCTTTTCCAAGTTTCGTGGATGTCAGGCCGAGGCACACTCCCCACCTCCTCGGACGCCTCCGCCAAGGTGAGCCCTGAAGTAGTGTAGGCCCCAAAGGGGACGGTAAGAACGTTTGTGAGTTCTTAACTATTACTCTCTTCCTTGGACGGAGGCAGATTGGGATCATGGGGCTTGGCTACAGTATGCAGGTGCAAGAATTCGCACAGTTTACGCTTGAAGGCCCTCATGTATTCGCAGGAGCAATGACTTTCTTGCAGGCCAGGCTTAGGTAAGAAATACCCGAGCCATGCTTTTTTGCGGCAGAATAGTTCACTAAATGGGACAGCGTTGCTTTGTCTCTCTTGTTCTGTTCGTGCACACACAGATTCTGACGCTCCCGTCATCGGCAATTACATACATAATATATATATATATATTGATAGCACAAGTTCAGAAGAAGGCGCCCCTCTCGTTCAACAAGATGGCAGTGATGTTAAGGATGATACTGGCCAGTGATGGCGGTAGTTGCAGTGGGCGGTGTGTTTGGCTGGTGCTGGTGGTGAGGCTGGTGGGGTGGTGGCGGTGGCGGCGTGGTGGAGCATGTGGTTGCGTGGGCAATGGCGAGAGCGGATGGCAGAAAGGAACCCGCGATATGATGGAAACAGCTTTCGGCAGCATGCTTGCATGATAGCCGTGGCGCCAGGTTCCGCAGCCGTGAGAAGGACGAGGCGAGCTCTGAGGCTGAAGAGACAGGGAGTTGTGGGCCGGGATGGTCACCGTTCTGGACACATGCAGGATAAGATCGCAAGACACCTTTCAGTAACAGCAGAGGGAAGGCGCTCAGTACTGTAAGGATCTGTAAGGACGTGAGCCTAGCATGTTATCTTGGAGGAGAGATTTCCAGAGATGTTTCTCAAGGTTAGGGTCCACTTATGTCTGACCTGCCAATTTCAAATTTCCCAAGAGCAAAAAGTAAGAGCATGGCACATGTTAAAGCCTCCCATCCATGATGTGAAAGCCTTTTAGCATCGCCTACCATCCTTGAGACTCCCGACGAGGACGAAGCGTTCAAAGCAGAATTCGTAGAAGCAGGTACGCGACTTCCGATCGCAAGGTTGCCGACCAGCCCTGCGCAACGGCCGCGGCCGGGCCACTGCAGCCGCTCGCCCAGGGTTTATGAATTAGGGCATAGGTGCGTTCTTCATATGTATGTATGCATACGCACACGTACGTGGTACTGTATATGCATGTACGTATGCGCTGTGGGTTCCACGAACTTGGGAAGAAACAGGGTGAAGGAATTTAGTGGCTTCTCCACTATGTTGGGTATTGGGGAAGCTTGTGCCACTTGTTTGATTAGTGATGTTCAGGGTTTAGTGGAGGTTGGGCAAAGGGAATTCTGAGGTGGGTTGAAGGGATTGGCTGAGAAAATTTGACGACCAGTGTAGCTTAGAAAGGATGCTGTGCATGGGCTGAAGCGATGAAGGCATAGAGTCGACATGCATATCTTCAGGCTTCCAGGCAAATGAAGTGCCAACCGAAGCTGCCAGCGGAGTTGTTGACGCAAGGCCCCTCGCGCAGCCAGTGTCGGCAACAGGCACACTTCCTGGCATAGTTTCAGGAATTCAGATCGGCGCTTGCGATGTGATAGTTATTGCGACTAAGCTGGCCTTGTAGCCTGTGCTTGGAATCACACACGTTTTGAGGATTAGGAGAACTTCGCTCCCTTGGCATCGGCTTCAGGATGCCAAATTGCTATTGAGCGCTTCAGCTATCTGAGCCCGGCCTTTGTCCCCAGCAACATCCTGCACTGTCCTCATGTGCTTCCGCATGGCTCTTGCATCTATGAAACAACCTCAAGGCATGCTGCAGCCCGTCAAGTTCATGTGCCCCGCCGTTGGATGAAAACCTGCTAATCCAAAGGATCTGCCCCTTGATGGTAAGAGTATCCAAACCGGAACTGGAACTATAGCTTTCAAGAAGCAGTCACCACCAGGGCTACTGCATTCATGTACAAAGCAGATTGAAGAGCAGCCTGTTTTTGCAAGCCAGGCTGGCTGCAGCCTCCCCAAGGCCTGAGCGCGAGGACCGCTTGCTTGGGTCAGCTCGTTTTTCGTGACAGCCTCACGACAGAAGAAGGAAAAGAGGGGGAGATATTATTGTAGCAAGAGATACTGTAGTAATGTAGTAGCTGTTGTAGTAGTAGTAGTAGTAGTAGTAGCAGTAGTAGTAGTAGTAGGAGTAGGAGTAGGAGTAGGAGTAGGAGTAGGAGTAGGAGTAGTAGTAGTAGTAGTAGTACCTGGACCCTGATGATCCTTCATTTTAATGGTGCATAGGAAATAATCCTGTCTTCTATTTCAAAATCCTGGCTTTTGCCCTATGACCTACATTTAGGGCCAGGATGCCTGTACCTTGAGAATTGGATGGTTTTTCTCCACTATCAGCAATTGCAGAAGGGAATACATTTATCCTTTCATCAACAATTAAGGGTCCCAAGCTGGGATATTGCAGAAGGGAATACATTTATCCTTTCATCAACATGCAATTATAAGGGTTCCAAGCTGGGATGAAAAGATTTGGGATTTTGCCAGCTGCTCAAGCTGGCAAAGAGCTGCCACGCCGGCACTGTGGGGCACTGCTGCAGCGGCCGCGGCCTCACGAAAATCAGGATGGGGAATTGATCACGCAGATATGCCCACCCTATAATTTCGTGGGGCATGTATGGCTGCTCAGGTTAACATCCTTGATAGTGTTTGATATTAACTATACTTGTTGTAATTAGCCACCAAAGGGTCCATGCATGCAGCCGGAACCTTATGCCTTGTGCATTTTTCTGGTCAGAATGTGTGAAAGGAAGTCTTGAGATTTTGAAAATTCATGCGTGCAATTTCTGCAGTTTCGTGTTTCAAGTGCGTGTAGTGAGGCACAGTGCAGTGCCTCTGTAGGTTGCCATGGCCTTCGTCTCCTTGATAGGAGTGGGGATGGAATGGGAGGACAATACCGAAATCCGTGCAAAATACTGGAGGAACAAGCGCTTGTTCCTGTCTGAGGATGGCGATGAGGTGAAGTGCCATGTGAGTGAAGCAGCCCGACACGAGCCTATCTTGATGAGCCTTGCAAAGCGCATGGCAGACTACAAGAAGACGAATAATAAAGCTACTTTGACGGTTCCGGTAATCCCTAAGTTGCTACCAGAGACACTCCACTGCAATGAGCATGCATTGGTGCCCCTTTGATGGACCCATGCTCATCAGGAATATATCCCCCTCCCCAGCCTTGATCTGAGGATCTGCAAGCTTCACAGGATTGTGTTCGGAAAGGATGCTGCTATCCCGAAGAAGGAGGTCAAGAAGGACGCTTGGACTGCCAAAACCTTTTGTGTTTTGCTCAAGCGCAAGGTTCGCAAAGGCCACAAGTCCAAGAACGCTGCGTTTCAGCGCCTCCTAAACGTGCTGAACCACGTTGAGGAGGCCGGTGCCATTCCTGCCCTGTGCATGCTGCCTTATACGTACTTTTTAAGCTGGTCCCAATCTAAATTGCATGCGCAATATCACCATGAGATTTTCTTGCCGGGGTGAGCCTTGATCAGGATGAGGGTCTGCAGACCCAGGATCCCCTGGATATTGGTGATGATGCGGATGGTACTGACTCCGATGACGAAGTCATCTCGCTTTCCGATGATGAGGTGCAGGATGGCGAGCTGGATGAGCTCGACAAATTGCTTGGAATCAATGAAGATGATGACCAAGATGAGCATGCGTTTCCAGGAGATGACGCCACCCTCTTCTATGATGCTGAGACCATGCGCGCAGCAGAGCCTGAAAATTTGCCCCCCACTACTCGAGATCTAGACTTCGGCGAGAAGACCCCTAGCAAGAAGGACAAGCAGCAGATTGTCGAGGTGAGCGATTCTCCCTTTAAAAGAAGGCGATCTCGGAGCCTGATTGTGCAGCGGAGTTCCGACAGGCGCAGGCAAAGTTGCGCAAGTTGAAGCAGATTCAGTGCGAGAGGACTGCAGGGCTGCATATTTTCGAAATATCTGAACCCTAAATCCGGAGCATGATTCCGAAATATTTCGATCCTAAACGCTAAATCCGGAACATTCTGTAGAATTCCTACGACATGTCACACGTTGTATTCAAGAATTTGCCGGTAGGTATAAGGGCATGCTTTTCAGACTTGATGCACAATGGTTTTCTTCATATTGCATTGTCCTACGCTGCAGGGCAAAGAAATTCCTGGCAATGAATGCCGCGCAATCTGAGCGTAACGTAGCAGGCAGGGCTCATGGCCATTTATGTTGCAAAATTGAAGCTGCATCTTAACAGATATTTCATATACTTGCATGTTGTAGGCCGATTTCATTTGAATCGTGCGCGTTGCAGGTCATCCGGAGGCATCAAGCTCGACAGCGCCGTCTACCTTTGCGGGTGCTGCCGATGATACTCAGATTCCTCCGGAGGAGGACTACATGGACAAGATTGCTGGGAAGTTCCGAGCCTCGGAGCTGGTTCCTGTTGATGAGCCGATTGATGTGGAGAAGGAAAAGGAGGAGGACGAGGAGGATGACGAGGCAGAGAAGCCCAAGCAGGCAAGCAAGTGAGGATGTGTGGTTTGCTTTTCACTGTTTAGGGCTCAAGGTTGAGGGGTCATACAAAAATTATATATGTACAGGGTTTAAGGTTTGGGTCCCTTGGTTTTGACTTGTGCTTTAGCCAAAAGTTTTGACCTGAGTTTTGTCGATCTCCATAACTTGCCCAAAGCCAACTTTGGATTTTTGAGGGTTGTTTTGTGACTCCACACCATTTTATGGGCTTCGTGGCGGCTCTCCGGCTGGTTCTATATAAAGCTCTCCCAGATAGTTTCTGCTAAGTTTTGGAGACCATTTCCGTATAGGAGTCGCTAAGAGGCCCTGAACTGGGAGGCGCTAGGAGGTTCCGCAAGTGGCCGACCAGTTTAATTTGGCGATTTGACTGCTTCCATCTAAGATTATAGTATATAGACTTATAAACAAATCAGGCCGGCTTGCTTACACGCAATGCTTTGACTGCTAGCTAGATTAAACCAATGTGGCAGCGGTCGGTTGTGCTATAGTCTATATTCATCGTTGTCTTGAGGGTTTAGGGCTGAAGATTTTTTAGGGTATCGGCATATTGGATTGGAACACGAACAAAAAACATTTGCAGGTGCTTCGCCGCGAGCAGCTTGGAATCAGGGCAGGCCTAAACGAGGAGAGCCAAGAGAAAATGAAGGCCAAAGGCTCAGGGAAAGGTGGCCGAGGCCGTGGCGCTGCTAGAAGGCGTGGTCGCGGTGGTCGTGGCAACTGTGGCCGTGGTAGCGGTCCGAGAGTTCTTCGAAGGCCAGCTGCAGCCAGCAAAGTTGCCTGCAAGGCAGCTGAGCCCAATGATTGGGCTGATGGGGGTGCAGAAGCAATGGATGAGGAGTGGCAGGCGGAGCCTTCCCACTCGTGGACGGCAGATGAGATTATGGAGTGGAACCTTTGGATGGCCGAAAAGGCTGCGGAGAAGGAGGTGAATGATGGTCCAGCGCGCAAGCGCGCGAAGGGGAGCACGCGGAAGGACGCAACCGCGCCCTGCATGGACAAGCCTTCCAAGCAGAAGGCCAGAGCATCCACTGATGACGAGCCCGCAGCGTCCAAGCGGACCAGAAAGGATAAGGATCCTGACCACACCAAGAAGTCATTTGCACGGCGCTTCATGCCCACCAGCCCTCTGCTCAAGGCACGATGGCTTGCCATTCGAGACGCCTTTCAGCAGGAAATCAAGCCGTGGATCCCCTTCTTTGGCAAGCACGAGGTCATTGGGCAGGGTTACATGTAGACATGCCTGCGTGCGGGTAGCTGCGCGCGCGTGCGTGCGTGCGTGCGTGCGTGCGTGCGTGCGTGCGTGCGTGCGTGCGTGCGTGCGTGCGTGCGTGCGTGCGTGCGTGCGTGCGTGCGTGCGTGGGTGTGTGTGTGTGTGTG